ACTTACCTTTCTCCAGCGCCGGACTCCCTTGGCGCTGAGGATCCCTCAGCCTCTCAGCTCCGAATGCGACCGTGCACGCATTCAAACCGCCCATAGGAAAGCATTACTTAATGCTTTCCTATGGACGTTCAGTGTGCTCCTCTAGCGTCTGTCCGTGAGACAGCCACTAGAGGCTGGATTAACCCTCAGTGAAACATAGCAGTTTCTCTGAAACTGCTATGTTTTCAGCTGCAGGGTTAAAACTAGAGGGACCTGACACCCAGACAACTTCATTGAGCTGATGTGATCTGGGTGTCTGTAGTGGTCCTTTAAAGGACCACTATAGTGCCAGGAAAACACTCGTTTTTCCTGGCACTATAGTGCCCTGAGGGTGCCCCCACCCTCAGGGACCCCCTCCCGCCCGGCTCTGGAAAGGGGTAAAACTTACCTTTTTCCACCGCTGGGCGGAGAGCTCTCCTCCTCCTATCCTCCTCTTCTCCTCCCCGTCGGCTGTATGCGCACGCGCGGCAAGAGCTGTGCACGCATTCAGCCGGTCACATAGGAAAGCATTCATAATGCTTTCCTATGGACGCTGGCGTGCTCTCACTGTGAAAATCACAGTGAGAAGCACGCAAGCCCCTTTAGCGGCTGTCAATGGGACAGCCACTAGAGGAAATAGGGGAAGGCTTAACCCATTCATAAACACAGCAGTTTCTCTGAAACTGCTATGTTTATGAAAAAATGAGTTAACCCTAGCTCGACCTGGCACCCAGACCACTTCATTAAGCTGAAGTGGTCTGGGTGCCTAGAGTGGTCCTTTAAGTGTGTGTGCATCTGCATGCACTGGCGTACATGCAGGGGTCGCAGCCCTGTAACCCCTGCGACCAGGTGCCCACCGCCATGTGTTGCGGCCCGGCCCGCGCGGGGGGGGGGGCCCACGGATCAATTTTCGCACCGGGGCCCCATGGGTCATGTGTACGCCACTGCAAGTCACATATGAATGTACAGCATAGAATGCACTAGAACAGAAAAAAGGGGAGCGGAGTACCTGGAGCAGCATGCAAACTATGGAGTGGCCCAAGGGACAAACTTTAGATGAACATTAAAGAAACAGTACATTATAATAAAACAATATCATGTAACATGACAGCCATTGATGCAGAGGTATTCTTTGCAGCATGAGATGGTGCATTGTCATGCATGAAGATGATTTCTGTAACAGGGAAGAAAGTGGTCAGTCAGAAACTCCACATACTTTGCAGAAGTCATCTTTACACCTTCTGGGACCCTAAAGGGGCCGACCAGCTCTCTTCCCATGATTCCGGCCCAAAACATGACTCCACCACCACCTTGTTGGAACAGGGTGGCCGTCCACCAACCATCCATTACTCCATCCATCTGGACCATCCAGGGTAGAACGGCACTCTTCAGTGAACAGGACTGTTTGAAAATTAGTCTTCATGTATTTTTCTGCCCAATGCAGCCGTTTCTGCTTTTGAGCATTGGTTAGTGGTGGCTGAATAGAAGGTTTATGCACATTTGCAAGACTCTGGAGGACTCTACACCTTGATGGCAGTGGGACTCCAGAGGCACTAGCAGCTTCAAATATCTGTTTGCTGCTTTGTAATGGTATTTTAGCAGCTGCTCTCTTGATCCGATTCATGGATCTGGCAGAAATCTTCCTCAATGTGCCTTTATCTGCACGAACCTGTCTGTGCTCTGAATCAGCCACAAATCTCTTAATAGTGCGATGATCACTCTTAAGTTTTAATTAAATATCTAATGTTTTCATACCTCGTCCAAAGCATTTAACTATTTCACTCTTTTCAGCAGCAGAGAGATCCTTTTTCTTCCCCAAATTGCTTGAAAATGGTGCTCTGCTTAATAATGTGGAACACCCTCCTTTAATAGTTTTTCCTTAAATTGGGCTCACCTGGCAATCTAATTATCACAGGTGTCCGAGATTGTTTTCAGTGATCAAAAGAGCCCTGACACACAATGCCATCCATGAGTTAAACTGAAAAACAAAATATTTAATCTTTGTGACACTTAAATAGAATTTGCATAATAATTTGGAACAGGGTGTATTATATACTTATATATGTATCTGTGAATTATCATCACTTAGTAGTACTTATTCTAATGGCTATTTGCTAATATGACTAAAAACACGGTTCACTGGTTCAATATTAAGAGCCTATTTGACAACTTAGAACCGACAGATGTGTATCTATAGAACATGTTATTATAGGCTGGGTGAGCTGGGTGGACCCGACTTTGCTAATCACACCGGTTTGCTTTTAAAAATCATTATTTGCTAATTCTGCTGTTTAGTTAAATTTAAATGCAAACAAAACAGAGATTTATATCAAAGATGGCTGTCGGTCTATGATATTTTACCCTTAACAATTCCCACATTACCATCAGAGCCATAGGGCGATCGATGGAACGTAATATGGGGTTTTACACACATTAAAATTAGGATTATCTAAGATTCTGACCTTTTGCCTCAGGGAAATGAGATTGTCCAACAGTGATCAATAGAGGTTAGCAATGGTGATAAGATCTCTCCCCCAGTGTATCTACAGCTTGAAGAAAAGGAAGTAAAGAAACAAGAGACCATTTAATATCTTCTCTATAGAGAGACAAAGGAGCAAAAAGTGGGAGAATTTTTAATAACGCATCCGAAAAAACTGGACAAAAGACACAAAAGGAGATGTTTACTAAAATGCAAATTGTTGAGAATTCCAAGTAAATTTTACATTTTAGACCAGTTCAAAGTGGCTTTTTTTTCCATTTGTCTATTTGAAAGTCACTTTGAATTCCTGACCATTCACAGTTTAGCGGCTGTTCAATAAGCTCCGATATAAACCTGAATGGCAAAATTTACTCTAAAATAACAGATTTGGAAAATTCCTCAACTGAGCTCTAGTCACAGCTTGGCTACTTTAAAGGAACATTGTCATTCAGATTTTAAACAGTTGGGAGTTTAGTGAATACGCCCTTGGTGAATAATGTTGTCTACAGATGTCCCAACTGGACCTTTCCCATGCTTCGGTGGTTGGCAAGAAATTTTTTGCTTCATCCTTTGCCGCTCAGTTTAAAGACTTCAGTGGATTCAAAGGGACATTGTAGGCAATATAGCCAAAGCTTGCTGTAGAGTGTAGTCTTTGGGCACATCCTTTGCTTGAAAGTCAAACAGTTTAGGAATGGTTTGACTTTAACCAGCTATTCCTATGGCCCCAAGACTATCTCCTCCGCAGCCACATTGATCATGCAGAATTACCACTTCCGCATTTTCAATGTGAATTTCATTCCATGTGGACAGTATTGATTGACTCAGAGCACTGGGCTACCCTCCCACCAGCTAACCTGCCCCCAGCACCAATTAATACTATCCAGGTTGGACAAAACTGCCATTGCTAGAGGAGAAGTGTTAAATCTGTGTTATCAGCATGACTGAGATGGGGCAAATACTAACAGTTTATGTCAAACTGTTCTTAAAAGGGTTTTTGATTAAACTGAGAGGGTGCTGACACTCTAGGCAATAAAACCACTACCGTGTCCCTTTAATATCCAGTTGGCAGCAGTCTTCATTTTGTCAACTAACAATTTTAGTCAAAGTTTAGTCGACTAAAATGTTTGATATTTAATCGACTAAAACTAAATCAATTCAGATGACTAATACAACTAAAACTAAAATGGCTTTTTAGTAAAAAAAAAATTCAAACTAAATTGAAATTTGCCACCAAAATTAATACTGCACAAAGGACTGTGGAAGAGGCAAAAGAGACAGACCAGGGTGTGGGAGAGGGAAACCTAGAGGGACTGAGAGGACACAAAGAGACACAGAGGGGCTGGGGAAGGGAGCAAAATAGACCAGGGCATGGGAGAGAGACACCTAGAGGGGCTGGGAGGACACGAAGAGACACAGAGGGGATGGGGAAGGGGCAAAAGAGACCAGGGCATGGGAGAGAGACACCTAGAGGGGCTGAGAGTCATGTCGACTAAAATCTACTAGAAATTTAGTCAACTAAAACTAGACTAAAACTAAAACAATTCAGATGACAAAATTGCGACTAAAACTAAAATAGCTTTTTAGTCAAAAGACTAAATTGAAATTAGCTGCCACACTGGTTGGCAGCACACACAATCCGTTCAATATGACTATCATATGGTTTCATGATCCAAAGGAATTGTTTAACCCCTTAAGGTCGGCGGGTGTGCTATGCTGTCCTTGGCGACCCGGCTCTAAAAGCCGGCGGCTGGCACAGCACGTCCACGCCGTCAAGGGGACTTACCTGTCATCCCAAGGAGTCCCCCGGCTGCTGATCCGGCCCTCCTGATCGCAAGGACCTCACGATCACATGGACGGAATAGGCGTCCATATCAGTGCCAGCAGGGGGAGTGCCTGGGATGACAGGTAGTCTCTCAGCTGTATGAAATAAGGTAAAATAAAGTTTAAACACAGTGTAAAATAAAATAATATATACTTAGATCATATATACACTTACACATACATATAATTATATATATATATATAAATATCAAAATACACGTAGAATGTCAAAAATTACCCCCTACGCCCTCAGTGAATACTTTTCTAACAACCTACTTCGTACCCCTACTTTTACCCTCTGTGTCACTATTCCCCACTCCCTCTAGAATGTAAACTCACTGAGCAGGACCCTCAATCCCTCTGTTACTGTGTCACTATACCCCACTCCCTCTAGCATGTAAACTCACTGAGCAGGGCCTCAATCCCTCTGTTACTGTGTCACTATACCCCATTCCCTCTAACATGTAAACTCACTGAGCAGGCCCTCAATCCCTCTGTTACTGTGTCACTATACCCCACTCCCTCTAACATGTAAACTCACTGAGCAGGGCCTCAATCCCTCTGTTACTGTGTCACTATACCCCACTCCCTCTAACATGTAAACTCACTGAGCAGGGCCCTCAATCCCTCTGTTACTGTGTCACTATACCCCACTCCCTCTAACATGTAAACTCACTGAGCAGGCCCTCAATCCCTCTGTTACTGTGTCACTATACCCCACTCCCTCTAACATGTAAACTCACTGAGCAGGGCCCTCAATCCCTCTGTTACTGTGTCCCTATACCCCACTCCCTCTAACATGTAAACTCACTGAGCAGGGCCCTCAATCCCTCTGTTACTGTGTCACTATACCCCACTCCCTCTAACATGTAAACTCACTGAGCAGGACCCTCAATCCCTCTGTTACAGTCACTATACCCCACTCCCTCTAGCATGTAAACTCACTGAGCGGGGCCCTCAATCCCTCTGTTACTGTGTCACTATACCCCACTCCCTCTAGCATGTAAACTCACTGAGCGGGGCCCTCAATCCGTCTGTTACTGTGTCACTATACCCCACTCCCTCTAACATGTAAACTCACTGAGCAGGACCTCAATCCCTCTGTTACTGTGTCACTATACCCCACTCCCTCTAACATGTACACTTACTGAGCAGGGCCCTCAATCCCTCTGTTACTGTGTCACTACACCCCACTCCCTCTAACATGTAAACTCACTGAGCAGGACCCTCAATCCCTCTGTTACTGTGTCACTATTCCCCACTCCCTCTAACATGTAAACTCACTGAGCAGGACCCTCAATCCCTCTGTTACTGTGTCACTATTCCCCACTCCCTCTAGAATGTAAACTCACTGAGCAGGACCCTCAATCCCTCTGTTACTGTGTCACTATACCCCACTCCCTCTAGCATGTAAACTCACTTAGCAGGCCCTCAATCCCTCTGTTACTGTGTCATTATACCCCACTCCCTCTAGCATGTAAACTCACTGAGCAGGGCCTCAATCCCTCTGTTACTGTGTCACTATACCCCACTCCCTCTAGCATGTAAACTCACTTAGCAGGCCCTCAATCCCTCTGTTACTGTGTCATTATACCCCACTCCTTCTAACATGTAAACTCACTGAGCAGGCCCTCAATCCCTCTGTTACTGTGTCACTATACCCTACTCCCTCTAACATGTAAACTCACTGAGCAGGCCCTCAATCCCTCTGTTACTGTCACTGTACCCCACTCCCTCTAACATGTAAGCTCATTGAGCAGGGCCCTCTACCTCTCTGTTCCTGTACGTCGAGTTGTCTGGTTACAATTACATGTCTGTTAGTCCACCCATTGTACAGCGCTACGGAATTTAAAGGTGCTATATAAATAATAAAATAATAATAATAAAGATATTAATTAAATATATATATAATTATATATATATATATACATATATATATATATATAAAATATATAAAATAAATAAATAAATATATAAATACGTTAAAAATGAAAAATAAAAATAATAAAAAAATAAATAATTAATATATATATGTGTGTAATTTCGTTCTAACTGTATTTTGATATTAATATATATATATTGATATCAAAATACACTTAGAACGAAAGAATATATATATGTATATATCACTATATATACGTATATATAAATAAAAATAATTTAAAAAAATTATATATATATATATATATACATACAGATATTTATACATACACACACACACATATATATATATATATATATATATATATATATAAACTCTACATATATATTTATGTAATATTTTACATAATTAAGTCGTTTTATTAATTACAATTTGCGGGACCTGCCTGATAACCCAGTCAAAAAATCCAGAGAATTTAATTTGCTAGCGCTGTATTTAACCCTGTAACTTTCCAAGACACCATAAAACCTGTACATGGGGGGTACTGTTTTACTTCGCTGAACACAAATATTAGTGTTTCAAAACAGTAAAATGTATTACAACGATGATATCATCAGTGAAAGTGAAGTTTTTTGCATTCTACACACACAGATGGCACTTACACTGACGATATAATTGTTGTGATACGTTTTATGGTTTTGAAACACTAATATTTGTGTTCAACGAAGTCTCCTGAGTATAACAGTACCCCTCATGTACAGGTTTTATGGTGTTTTCAAAAGTTACAGAGTCAAATATAAGGCTTATGTTTCAATTTTTTCACATTGAAATTCGCCAGATTGGTTACGCTGCCTTTGAGACCGTATGGTAGCCCAGGAATGAGAATTACCCCCATGATGGCATACCATTTGCAAAAGTAGACAACCCAAGGTATTGCAATGGTTATGTCCAGTCTTTTTTAGTAGCCACTTAGTCACAAACATGTAGGAGGTGGGCTGGCAGAGAGCTGTTACTTACCTTTCCTGCAGCTCCTGTCAGCTCCCTTCACCTCCGTGCCGGTCAGCTCCCTTCTCCTCCACTGTAAGTCTCGCGGTCTATGTAACCCGTGGCAACGCTCTTACCCCATGGCTCTCGCAAGACTTACAGTGGAGGAGAAGGGAGCTGACCGGCACGGAGGTAAGGAAAGGTAAGTAACAGCTCTCTGCCAGCCCCCAACAGGACTGACGGACTTGTAATGAGCCCGGCGGTCCTGGTCTGTATTATGACAATGTAAGTTGCCATAATACAGACCTTGACTCGAGTATAAGTCGAGCGGGGGTTTTTTCAGCACAAAAAATGTGCTGAAAAACTCATCTTATACTCGAATATATACGGTAAATTGCAAATTCTGAGCCAAAGATAACAGATCTGGGATAATAGATGAGGGTATATACTTTATTTTTTAGAAATGGTCTATTTTATCCAGAAATGTACATTTGCCGGTGTAACAAATAAACTCCAAAGTTTAAGCAGACGATGGTTTCAAGGTGTTTACAAATATACAAGTATTGTTTCTCTTTAGCAGTCGGTGAGTTAAGAGGAGTCGGTTGTGACATATCTTTGTAAAGATGCACAAGGCAAGCTGCCTGCGTTGTCATCACGTATTAAAGACACATAGAGCTGATAGTTCTAGGTCACTTTGAGGTTATGTAATCTTTGCATGAAGGAAGTGATCGCCATGGGTCACTAACAAGATATGAAGTCTTTGTGTGGGGTGCCCTGCTGAAAGGTCACTTGCAGGCCAACATGACCCTTTGCTGACAGTAAGCTGTAAGTCAGCTGTAAGTACATACAGCAACAATAGTAATTCTTTTCGAGGCTTATGGTCTAATTGTCAGCGTACGCTGCTTGGTCTCAATATACTATGCCATGGTCTGAGCCGAAACCCGTCTGGAATTCTCAGACGCAACTGTGGGAGCATCAAGGGTGAAGGTGGGTTCATTCATTATGGAGAGGTTGTTTTATTCCTGAATCTTGCTAACTCCTGCCCCTGGGGTAGCACCTTCCTCTGTCACATGTAATCAGTGACAGGCTTGACGTACCTTCATAGTGGGCACAGGACTCCAGGGCTACCGGTCACTGTCAGCGTGGAAAGATGTCCCCAAGAAGTCAACAAACCCAGAAGACTCGTTAGGTTGGTTCGTGGTTATAAAAATAGGATCATTTATTTGCCTTGTGGTCCAATCCTGTGTCCATGTAGGATGAATATGTTTTGTCTGTATGATGAGAAGCTGAAGGCCGCACAGAGACGGCAGTTTTCATTAGCAATAAAGGAAAGGCATGTCAGGTCTCTTTAGCTCAGTTTTCTGTTGTGGATCCAATCACACGAAGCCACCGTAGCATGCCACAGAGCAAGCCACATGAGATGAAAGAAACCTACTTCTTAGAATTATGGATCTAAACAAAAGACTATCAATCAAGTAACTAGATATGCACAGGACCTTCGCACATGGCACACGTATTCCCTTCTATCGATACTTCCCTTAATTGCAGCCCTCCCAGAGGGATGCTCTCTCACTTAGCTCCAAAAGTAGCACCACTCAGGAGGTGCAGGTATAGAAAGGATAGTGGCACAGGCATCAGGGAAACTTGTTTCTCTCCTTAGGAAATCTTCACTGGAACTTGTAAAGGACCGGTTAACTGTCTAAATTTATATTATAAGAGCAAAATGTGCACTTGATTTTATTAGTGTCTTTAAAATGAGTGTTTTAGTTTATGGAATAAAGCATTTCTGTCATTGTAAAATTATGCTATGAGCAAATTTCTGTTTTAATGTCCTGTCCAGAGGCCTAGCTTCAAAATATCAAGACAACAGAACAGAAAAATATTCCAAAGGGCACTAGAAACCAGTGAGACCACCAATCAGGCCACTAAATAAGCACAGGACCACCAAGTATGACCACTAAACAAGCACAGGACCACCAAGTATGACCACTAAACAAGCACAGGACCACCAAGTATGGCCACTAAACAAGCACAGGACCACCAAGTATGACCACTAAACAAGCACAGGACCACCAAGTATGGCTACTAAACAAGCACAGGACCACCAAGTATGGCCACTAAACAAGCACAGGACCACCAAGTATGACCACTAAACAAGCACAGGACCACCAAGTATGACCACTAAACAAGCACAGGACCACCAAGTATGGCCACTAAACATGCACAGGACTACCAATCAGGCCACTAAACATGCACAGGACCACCAAGTATGACCACTAAACATGCACAGGACCACCAAGTATGGCCACTAAACATGCACAGGACTACCAATCAGGCCACTAAACATGCACAGGACCACCAAGTATGGCCTCTAAACATGCACAGGACCACCAAGTATGACCACTAAACAAGCACAGGACCTCCAAGTATGGCCACTTAACATGCACAGGACCACCAAGTATGGCCTCTAAACAAGCACAGGACCGCCAAGTATGGCCACTAAACATGCAAAGGACCACCAAGTATGGCCACTAAACATGCACAGGACCGCCAAGTCTGACCACTAAAGCACAGGACCACCAAGGACCACTAAACAACCGCCAAGTATGGCCACTAAACATGCACAGGACCACCAAGTATGGCCACTAAACATGCACAGGACCACCAAGTATGATGCACAGGACCACCAAGTATGGCCACTAAACATGCACAGGACCATAAGTATGGCTACTAAACAAGCACAGGACCACCAAGTTTGACCACTAAACAAACACAGGACCACACCAAATTATGGCCACTAAACAAGCACAGGACTACCAATCAGGCCACTAAACATGCACAGGACCACCAAGTATGACCACTAAACATGCACAGGACCACCAAGTATGGCCACTAAACATGCACAGGACTACCAATCAGGCCACTAAACATGCACAGGACCACCAAGTATGGCCTCTAAACATGCACAGGACCACCAAGTATGACCACTAAACAAGCACAGGACCTCCAAGTATGGCCACTTAACATGCACAGG